AAACTTTAGTTGCAACAACATAGTCTAAATAATAGAGTGTTATATATAACACGGTGTTATAAATATAATATTTCAAATTCTTTATATATTATTTATTTCTTCTTCGCCAATTACTGAAGATAGTGAAATCTGAGATTCAGCAAGATATTATAAACATGATAGCAAACTCTAATATTTCTTGAAGAAATCCTAATAATTAGGTATTGCCAGCCTGGCACTATATATAATTTTCAAGTTTATTGGTATTTTGATAATACTAATCTTGAGTATATTTCATAAATAGTCCATCAACTCGATAAAGCTATTTAATTACTACATACTGGATTACTTTAACTGAATTTATTCATTTTTGTGTTTGCGTTATTCTATACATTCGATGATTGTAACTTCGATACACCCTCTTAAATATATTTTGAATAAAGGCAAGTGGTAGTAATAAATAATTCGGTATAAAATATCAAGATAATTAATTAAAAAAATTTTATATCCCATATTATGCTCACATAATTGCTAATGCTCTGGTCTCATTGAGTAAGTCAGACTTGATGATTCTGATTGCATTCAAGACAACAAGACGTATATTTCCTTCAATGTGATCTAATTTATTATCAATTTGATCTACTATCTATTGATCAGAATTTCCAGCTTCATCCCATTCCCACAACATTTCATTGAGGCATAATTTACATTTATTTTTTTGCAAATCTTTTAATACAAGGATATAATCAACAGATAAGTCAAATTCATAACCTTTTTTCTTATCTTGATCTATATATCCTACGAGTTTTTTAGAAATAAATGGTCTTAATGAATGTTCGATAGCTTTCTTATTTTTTGCATCTTCAATTTTAGGAGGTAATGAGGGACCTTCAATTTGAATAAGTTGGCTCAAATATTCTATACGACCAACTGCGAGATAAATTAGATTATCTCAGGCTAAATTTTCATCAATAACTCAAACGCGTTGCGAAGCTTTGAGTGTCATTCTCTGACTGGTATGAATGGTCATTGCATATCCAAGTTCCCAATCTATAGCTTTTTCTTTCCTAACATGCCTTGTAAGAATTTATCAGAAAGTGTATTTAAGGATAAGTGTATTATATTATTTTTTACTAGCTCCCTTTTTTTTGAATGAGCCAGGGATCAGAACAAGGCAATTTTGTTTACGCCTATCTTTTGGCCTATAAATTAATAGGATTGAAATTTCAGAATATTTTGTACAATGAAGCTTGAGACATATTTGTGATAAAGTCTTTGAGAAAGTCAATATGCTAATAGAATTTGATCTGAGGGAGGCCATTTTTTTTTTGAGATATTTTCATTTTTCTATAACTGGAATTGCTCTATGAAATAATTCT